TGCCTCTGCCTCCCAAGTGCTGGGATTAAAGGCGTGTGCCACCACGCCAGGCTCTCTCTTTTTATTTTTAAAGATTTATTTTTATTTTATGTGTATGAATGTTTTACTTACATGTATGTCTGTATTATGTATGTATGTACACTGTGTACATTCCTGGTGCCCAGGGAGGCCAGAAAAGGGTGTTAGATCCCCTCAAACTGGAGTTGCAGACAGTTGTGAGCCTTCATGTGGGTTCTGAGTCCTCTGCCAGAGCAGCCGGTGTTCTTAACCACCGAGCCATCCCTCAGTCCCTTCTTTCTTTTTATTTTGACCTTGAGCTTCTTATCCTCCAGCCTCCACCTCCTTAGTGCTGGGATTACAGGCATGTGCCACCGCACCTGGTTTGATGCTATACTGAGGATCTAACTCAAGTCTTCATGCCACACCCCCAACCCCCAATTTCCTGTAAATCTAAAACTGTTTTCAAATAAAATTTATGGCTGAGGATTCAGCTCAGTGATGGAACATTCACACATTATTTGTGAGGTGTTGAGTTTGATCCTTTTGGTCTGGATCTGATTTCAGTCAATAGTCAATCTTTAGATACTAGTAACATTTTGTAAATATAAGCTTAGCATAGTGAGATATATATATATACATATATATACACATACATATATATATATCACTGTACTCACAATGCTATTAAGAGATTTTTATCATTTGATAAATGTAGAAACTGAGACATTAGAAAGCACATTTGTGCAATTATGTAATAAACATTTACTAGTGAGTTGGTGACTGCCCTGGAGCAGGTTAAGGGTGCTACTGGGACTTCCCTAATAAGTTCTCTATAAGTGTCATAGGCAACTGTCTTGGCTGGACTCAGTCATGTGACCTCCCCCCCATGGTGTCAGTGCCACTACCTGATAGGTCTCCTAATTCTCTTGCATTCTCCTTCATTTCCTACATCTAACCTGTCACTAAATCCAGGGGGCCTTCCTCTGAGACATTTTCCCCATCTTCCCAGCCCACTCTGTTTGTCATGACTGGATCCTCATGGCCTCTCCTCTGCCTCAAATCTCATGCCCTTTAACATGCACCCCATGCACACCACCCATCTTTCCACTACCATGATCTCATCCACACCCAAAACTTTCCAGTCATCCAAACAACAGCTTCCACAACCTGTTCAAGGCCAGCCCCTCTTTCTACACTGCCCTTTTCTCTGGTGCTCCAGATTATCATCCCCAGACAGGCTCTTGCTCTTGGTTTTCCTGAGGTCTACACGATGCCTTTTTGTTTTCTTTTCCTGATGCTGAGGCTTGAACCTAGGGTCTTCCATACACTAGTCAAGTGCTCTACCACTGATTTATAACCCCAGCTGCCTTTCTTTTTAAAAAGATTTTATGTGCATGAATGTTTTTCTTGCGTGTAGGTAAGTATACCATGTGCATGCAATGCTCTCTCCAGTCCTCGTTTTTTTCCCCCTTTTTCCCTTTTTTATAGGAACAAGCATGCCATGGCACATATGTGGAGATTAGAGGACAACTTTCTGGAGTTGGTTCTCTCCTTCCACCATGTGGGTCCTGGGAACTGAACTCATATTGTCACCCTTGGCTACAAACACCTTTACCCATTTAGCAATTTCCCCACACCCCTATCTGCCTTTCTTATTTTGTCCTTGGAGATTACACATGTACTTCAAGCTTTAATTCAAATTCAATTGCTTTTAGGTACAAATCCTCTCTGGCAGCAAACCCTCTTCCCAGCAATCAGCAATCAGTTCTTACTTGTCTTACAGCAGCTATAAGCACCACACTGGTGCTGAAAGCTGAGGACAGTGGACTAAGGCACCTCTGCTCAAAAATATCCCAGTTATTCCCTGCTATTAGCTTCTTTTATGGCAAAGCAATAGCCACACTTCATAGTGAGATGCCCCTAAGCAGCAAGGATGAAAAGACTAATAGTTGTGAAAGACTCAGGGAAACTTCAAGAAGGAAGTGAATTGGAAGACTGTCAGAAACACATTCAGAGTTTATTGAACACATGCCTTATATTGGACAGTATTCAGGAGCAGGGAGCTTTAACTTAGAGTGCCTTGTTTACTTCCCAACACAGACCTGCTAAGCATATCTATCATATCTATTTCTATTGAAGAGGTGACTGAGTCTGGGAACATCGGCTCTGCAAATGCCCAGCTAGTAAGCAGTTGACAGTTGACCACGGATAGGAAGTTTGGTCTCTGGCTTCTACTACTCCAAAGTCCAGCTGAGGGACTGAAGAATGAGTATAGAGCTAGTTGTAGTGTCTCACACAGCTGTAATCTCAACACTTGGGAGGAAGAAGCTAGGAGATCAGCATGTGTTCAAAGTGTGGGCAACACAGAGAGACCCTGAAGGGAAAAAAGGATGTGCATGTGGAAGTGGGATGCTGTAATCAGCCCACTGAGGGAGGATATAGCAAGCAGAGTCTACCTAAGTCTTACCCCATACATTCTAGAGAGCTCTGGAGATCAAAAGGGGGTGTTGGAGACAGTGAAACTGTGGCTGGAAGTACTGTGTGCTGCTCAGACAGCCCTCAGCCTTCTCCATTCACCTCCCTTGTAGCTATGCTGGGCTCCATCTGCTGATGTACATGGACAGACCTGATGGCAGATGGCAGGTGATCAGAGATGGAATCTTAATCATGGAGCAAAGCAGCTCTCCTGCCTGGGACCACCTTTCCCAAGGTGGAAACATGACTTTCACACTTGGTTTCTGTGACCCGAGGCTTCCCCCATAGGAAGTGATGTTGAAACTACAGACTTGGGCAGGAGAAGTGGGACCCTTGTGAAGAAGGAAGTGATCTAAGACAGTTTACCCAGGCAGCTCCTGTAGGGATGGTGCCTTTCCTGATATCCCTTGGTATAGGCTGGTGAAAGGGAACCGCAGCAAAAAGAGTTGTGGTGTGCATACCTGTAATCTTAGCAAGAGGACTGGGAGTGTGAGGTCAGTCTGGGTTTCATGAAGGTATCCTGTCTCAAAAAGAGGAGGAAGGTCATGTAAAGTATAATACAAATCGAGACATCTTTCAGTGTGTCTGGGTGCCTTCTGTTGTTGGGCAAAGATGGACAGTAGTGACCCTGCCAATAACCTTCCATGTTAGCAAGATAGACTCTAAGTTGCCTAGGCAGCTAATAGAAACCTTTGCAATGGCACCTAAGTGCTTGCACTTCTGTACCTTAGGCAATCTAAGGTACCCGTTCTTTTCTTCTCCATGATTCTATAGGACTGTGTTCATAAGCCTGGGTACACTCTGTGAAGGCAGAGGCATTTGTCTGTTTTGTTCTCTGCCATGTCCCAGAACTGGAAAACTGCCAGACATAGTGTGCCGACTCCTTTTCCTAGGACTAATATTGTTTACTGGTCCATGGTCTCTGCAGGCTTATGCCCTTCTCCAGGATGGGGAAAGCACTGTATCTGCTGTGTGACTCCAACACCCAGAACAAGGCCTTGCACAAAGCAAAGGCTGTGTCAATACCACTCTATTAAGTGCAAGGAAGCAGCCCCAGCATTTCTCAGCTGTGCTTTATTTTTCCTGGTGGCCCCTTCCCACACACCAAGGAGCCACTGTGGGGCAGGCACTACATTACCTGGCATGCGGCTTTACCACCAGCTTTGCTACTTTCTGTAGTTCTTTTCCGTTATTTTTGTTTTTTGAGGGTCTCATTTTGTAGCTCTGGCTAGTATTCCCTAGTAATCCCCGTGCCTCGGTCTCCCTCGGGCTGGAGATTAAGCTTTGTGTGGTTTTATTTTTACGATGCTGGGAAAGAATCCAGGCCTTATGAAGCTGGGCAAGAACTCGACCACTGAGTTACAACCTGCTATTTTTTGGAAGCTGGTGGGCCCTCTGGGTGTGGGAAGCTAGAATTGTTCTGTCTGCCTTTGGAGGTAGACCGAGACAGCGACTGGATTGAGTAACAGGAGGGTCCTTCAGGGGATCTAGCGCCGCGGACAGGTAAGCGACAAATCGAGGGAGGGAAGCCTGGGCTCCAAAGCCTAGGGCCCACTCAAGCCTAGGGCTGCATAGGCAGGGGCGGGGAAAGCCAGGACTGCTCCCTAGCGTCGAGGTACGGAACTGCAGCAGGGCAGCCACGGGGGCTCGCGTTGAGCGAGGTCAGCCGCGAACTGGCTCCGCCCCCGCCGCCGCCGCAGCCCCTTCTGGAGGCTGCTACACTCCCCTCCGCTCCAGCAGACGCCAGCGGCTAGAGCCCGGAAATACGTCATAGGCGCGCGTCACGGGGGCGGGAGTCAGCTGAGCTGCTTGGGCGAGGTTGGGGAATCTACTGGGTTCAGCCAAGGGAGCCTGTGATCTCGGAGGAGGGCAGGAGTGGGTGCAAAACTGCGCCAGATTCTAGTGAGAGGGCTCCCAGGTCTTCTCGGCCTATACAGCGAGAGAGAAAAGGGCTTCAGAATTTTTTTAAGTTCTCAGGATATGTCAGACGCTGGCGAGTTATCATAGCTTGCAAATCCCGGACCACTGGGGTCCCGACGGTTGTGATCCCCAATCCCAGGCGAAAGGCCTAGAGGCTGGGCACCATGGCGTCCATCCTGGATGAGTATGAGGACTCATTGTCCCGCTCGACCATCTTGCAGCCCGGTTGCCCTAGCGTGGGCATTCCCCACTCTGGTAAGGAAGGGGAGGGCGCCGCTCTCCCCTTCAAGCTCTGCTAGCATCTGGGGGAGGGAGGCTCAAGAGCCGGAGCGTGCGTTCAGGATTTAACCCCTAGCCTTGTCTTGGCCCTCAGCTGGTAGATAGTTGAAATTTGAAAGAGCCACAAGAACAGCCGCGTGATCTAGGCCCAACCACTATGGTCCTTCAAAAGAGGGAACTGGGGCTCATATAAGGAAATTCTTTTCTCCAGGGCTGCAGTTTGGTTCTTGGTAGCTCTGAGAATAGGCTCCAGGCTTCTCCTAATGTCTGGTTCTGTGTTCTTCCCACCAGACCCCTTCGAGGGGTAGCAGGGAGAGAGGGAATGAGCAAAGAAATTTGTGGAACCTGGATGCTATAGAGGAAGGCAGGATGGCCCTAGAGGGAATGTTGTCATTGAACAGGAACGATGATGTTTGGCTTTGGGGAAAGCTGAGTGCAGCCTGAAATTTAGGGGTAATTTTTTAAAAACTAGTGCAGAGTTGGCTGAGTGCTGACATTTTGAGCAACTGACTAGAGAGAAAGCACCTGCAGTCTGTTAACAGCACTGATGGAAACTGATCCCCAGGGCTCCCTCTGCCCTAAATTTTCTGGAGTCACTGAGCTGAATTACCATGTGGACAGGCAGGAAGAGACAATAGTCCAGCTGGAAGTGGTGAACCAAAAACTAATAAGGGAGAATGGCCAAACCATCTTCTCACCCACCCACCCCCCCATTACCACTAGGAGCAAGCAAGCACATCATTGTGTAAGATCATCTCTGAGGTTCACAGAGTCAACCCCTCATCACTGTCAGAAATGTGGGAAGAGCCCACGGCCCTTTACTGTAAAGGCAACCAGAAAACTACTTGATATTGTACAGCTTATGATCCAAGATCCTGTGGGTAGGAATATACTTGAAAAGTGGAAGACTGTCAAGAAGCACTGTTGTTTCTTGGAGTTTTCTGTGCTTTTTCCCCCCTGCTCTTTTTGCCCTTTCTCTGTCTTCCACTATTTATCTTCTCTTCACCCCTCACCCATAGGGTATGTAAATGCCCAGCTGGAGAAGGAAGTGCCAATCTTTACAAAGCAGCGCATTGACTTTACTCCTTCAGAACGCATCACCAGCCTTGTTGTCTCCTGTAATCAGCTCTGCATGAGTCTGGGCAAGGATACATTGCTCCGGTAATATATTTGGGGACTATTAACAGATTGGGGGAGGGGTCTTTCTTCTGCACTTGGCAAGTGAAACAGTGGGGACTTGAACAAGTTACCTAATCTTTCCAAACGTGGTGCTTCATCAGTTAAAGGTCATCTCGGCCCCTAAGTCATTCACACAGATCATTGGAGCTGTCTGGAATCCTGAAATATTTATCCACTAGCTGACAGAGGTCTCAACAGAATTGTTTATCATTTGGGATAAGCCATCTGGAATAAAACAGAATTAGGCCTGTCTCAAAAAGATGAATTCCAGGAGCTAAAGAGATGGCTCAGTGGTTAAGAGTACTTGCTGCCCATGCAGAGGACTGGGATTCAGTTCCCAGTACCCACATGGCAGCTCACATGAGATCTGATGTCTTCTGCTATACACAATACATATACATACATGCAGGCAAAACACTCATACACAGAAAATAGAAATAAATAAATCTTGGGGCTGGAAAGATGGCCCAGCAATTTTAAGAGCACTGGTTGTTCTTGTACAGGACCTGGGTTCAGATCCCAGAACCCACATGACAGCTAACAACTCTCTGTAACTCCAGTTTCGACACCCTCTTCTGTCCTCTGTGGGCATTTCGTGACACAGATGCACTTATATACACACAGGCAAAACACTCAGACATAAAATAAAATGAACAAATTAAAAATTTTAACAAAATGGCCAGGCATGGTGGCACACACCTTTAAAATTCCAGCACTCGGGAGGCAGAGGCTGGCCTGGTCTATGTAGTGACCGAGGTCACCTGGAGCAATAGGGACACTATATCTCACAAGATAGGAAAAAAAAGAGAGAGATGAATTCCAGATTGAATGGTTACTTATAAAAACTAACATTTGCAGCCGGGTGTAGTGGCCCATACCTTTCATCCCAGCACTTGGGGCAGATACAGGCAGATCTCTGTGAGTTCAAGGCCAGTCTTGCCTACATAGTGAGTCCAGGCCAGCTGGGGCTACAGGGAGACCCTGTCTCAAAAAGACCAAAAAAAAAAAACAAAAAAAAAACCCAACACCCAATTCAGTGGAAAGGGGAAGGTAGAATATAAGCAAACTGTGCACCCAAAAAGGGCTTCAGGGACTGCAGAGATGGCAGAGCCAGTAAAACACTTGTTGTATATGCATGAGGGTCTGAGTGCAGATCCTTAGTTCCCATGTAAAAAGCTGCATGTGGCAGGATATGCCCATCTGTAACCCCAGCACTGAAGTGGGGCAAACATAAATGAATCCCCAGAGTTCACAGGCCAGTCAGTCTAGCCAAATTGGTGAGCTCCAGATTCATTGAGAAACCCTGTCTCAAAAAATAGGTGGAGGTGCTGGGTGTGGTGGTATGCACCTTCAGTCCCAGCACTTAAGGAGGCAGAGGCAGGTGGATCTCTGTGAGTTTGAGGCCAGTCTGGTCTACATAGCAAGTTCTAGGACAGCTGAGGGCTACTTAGTGAGACCCTGTCTAAAAGAAAATTTTATTTATTTACTTTTGTTTGTTTTTGGTCTTTTTTGAGACACGATCTCCCTGTAGCCCCAGCTGGCCTGGAACTCACTCTGTAGACCAGGCTGGCTTCAAACTCGCAAAGATCTGCCTGTCTCTGCCTCTCAAGTGCTGGGATTAAAGACATGTGCCACCACACCTGGCTCTAAAAGAAAATTTTAAATAAAATATGGTGGAGGGTTGGTGAGATGGCTCAGCAGGAACTGGTGTGTACTGCCAAACTTGATGACCTGAAAGTTGGTTCACATACACACATACATACCCATAAAAACTAACTAAATATAAGTAAAAAAATTTTAAGGTAGAGAGCAATAGAGGAAGACACTGGACATTGACCTCTGGCCTACATTCACATGTGTACCTGTACCGACATTCACACAAACATGTACTCGTGTCATGCAATGCCGTGGAGGTCAGAAGAAGGTGTCAGATTCCCCTGGAACTGGAGTTAAGGATGGCCTTGAGCTCATTGCAGTCCTCTTTCCTCATCCTCCAGAGTACTGTAGGCCCTATAGGTATGTGCTACCTTGTCCAGATTGAAAATAACTTTAAAACAGAATTTCTTTTAAAGATTTATTTTGGGACTGGAGAGATGGCTTAGCAGTTAAGAGCACTAACTGCTCTTCCAGAGTACTTAAGTGACCTAGCTTTGGTTCCTAGTATCCACATGATAGCTAACAACTTTCCTTAACTCCAGTTCCAGGGAATCCGATTCCCTCTTTTGACCGTGAGCGTTGTAGTGCTGGGAATAAAACCCAGGCACCTGCTCCCAAGCCTGGGTACCTGAATTCAATTCTTGAGACCCACATGGTGGAAAGAGAACTGGCCCCTGTAAGTTGTCCTGTAGCCCTCACCCACACCATGACGTGTGCACACATACACATGCACACAAAATAAATGAAATTTAATACAAATTTTGTAAAATTTGTCATTTTAAAACATTTAGCAGGGTCTGAGGGCACATACCTGTAATCCCAGCATTCAGTGGCTGAGGTTGGAGGATCTCAACTAGGTAAGCCTGGATTACATAGCAAGATCCCGTCTCAAAAGCCAAAACATAAAAGTTTTTTTTAAAAAATATTTTATTTATGGGGCTGGAGAGGTGGCTCAGTGGTTAAGAGCATTAACTGCTTTTGCAGAGGACCCGGGTTCATTATATGTGTATGAGTGTATTGCCTGCATGTAGGTAAATGCACCCATGTCATGTAATGCTCGCAGAGGACAGAAGAGGCCATCGGATCCCCTAAAACTGGAGTTAGAGTTGTTAACTGCCATGTGGGTGCTGGGATTCAAACCCGGGTCTTCTGCAAGAACAACCAGTGTTCTTAACCGCTGATCCATCTCTCCAGCCCCTACAAAAAAGTTTTAAACTGCCAGGCATGGTGACACACACCTTTAATACCAGCACTTGGGAGGCAGAGGCAGGTGGATCTCTGAGTTCAAGGCCAGCCTGGTCTACATAGTGAGTTCCAGGAGAGCTGGGGCTACAGGGAGACCCTGTCTCAAAAAGACCAAAAAAAAAAGTTTTAAACTATAAATTGGATCCATTCATAACTTTGGAGAATATAAAGAAAAGTACCAGTTAGAGGGGTACTGATGCATGAATACTAATCATGATGTTATTTCTGGATACTATTTGTGGTAAGAAAAATGACCTCAACTAAATGCCCACTGACAAGGAAATAGTGTCCCAATTATGGTTCAGTTATCAAATGGGATGTTGTGCAGTTATGCAAACAGTGAGAACTATATATGTTAATAACTATACTGTTCATGAAATATTAATGGAGAAAAGCAAGTTACAAATTAATAAGCGCACATGAAGGTGTTTTTATAATAACAGCAACATAACAACTATGTTATGAGCATGAAAAAAGTTAACATCAGTTTTTTTTCAGTTGGGAATGACAGGGATTTGAGAAGAAAAAAATTGTTGAATTTTTCTTTATACATCTTTATATTGATTCTTTAGTTAGAATAGACATAATTGGGAAAATTATTTTTATTACATTATTTGTGTGTGTGTGTGTGTGTGTGTGTGTATGAACTTGTGCCACAATGTATGTGTGTGTAGAGGTCAAAGAATAACCTACAGTGGTCAGTTTCTCCAGTTTCTCCCTCCACTATGTGGATCCCAGGAATTGAACTCAGTCATCGGGCTTGGTGGCAGGGACCTTTACCACTAAGCCATCTCACCAGTCCTAATTTAGAAAGCATTCTAAAAGAAAATATAATTGAAACAGGACATCTTTCAAAGTTATTATGAAGATTGAGATGCTAGGTTAAACTCTTGGTGTGGTTTTTGGTGCTGAGAAAATGTTCAGTAGCCATCTGCTCCTGACAGAGCTTCCTTCTTAGCCAGCAGTTAGGGATAAGCCTATCTTCCTGGGTGCGTGAAGATCCTTTGAGCACAAGGAAAAGACTTCTTTGTGATTCTCAGAATGAAGTAGGGGAGTTCCCAAAGCTGGGGTTCTTAAGTAGGGCTCTATATATGATTCAGGATTCTCTTGGGAGTATATTAAGAATTTTTTGGGGTCTAGATTTCAGGGAAGAAGGACTGTAGCTTTTAGGTCTGTGATCCAAAAAGGGACTTCCCTTCTCAAGGGTGACACTGTGACTCTTGTCCCCCACAGTATTGACTTGGGCAAGGCAAGTGAACCCAACCATGTGGAGTTGGGGCGCAAGGATGATGCCAAAGTTCACAAGATGTTCCTGGACCATACCGGTAAGTGGTGCTGGAGATAGGCAGAGGGCTCCTGTGAGTGATTCATTGCCTGGGTGGGCTGGATTCGAGGGAGAGGGAACAGGAGAAGCAGCATCCATTGGGGTGCTATTTTCTGTCTACTCCAGGCTCTCATCTGCTGATTGCTCTGAGTAGCACCGAGGTTCTCTATGTGAACCGCAATGGACAGAAGGTACGGCCACTAGCACGCTGGAAGGGGCAGCTGGTGGAGAGTGTGGGTTGGAACAAAGCCCTGGGCACTGAGAGCAGCACTGGCCCCATTCTGGTTGGCACAGCTCAAGGACAGATCTTTGAAGCAGAGCTCTCAGCCAGTGAAGGTGGGCTTTTTGGCCCTGCCCCAGATCTCTACTTCCGTCCATTGTACATGTTAAATGAAGAAGGGGGTCCCGCACCTGTGTGCTCCCTGGAGGCTGAGCGAGGTCCTGATGGGCGTGGCTTTGTCATTGTCACCACTCGGCAGCGCCTCTTCCAGTTTATAGGCCGAGCTGCAGAAGGGGCTGAAGCCCAGGGCTTCTCAGGGCTCTTTGCTGCCTACACAGACCACCCACCCCCATTCCGTGAGTTTCCTAGCAACTTGGGATACAGCGAGTTGGCTTTCTATACCCCCAAGTTGCGCTCTGCACCTCGTGCCTTTGCCTGGATGATGGGAGATGGTGTGTTATATGGCTCATTGGACTGCGGGCGTCCTGACTCCCTGTTGAGTGAAGAGAGAGTCTGGGAGTATCCGGAGGGGGTTGGTCCTGGGGCCAGTCCACCCCTAGCCATTGTCTTGACGCAGTTCCACTTCCTGCTGCTGCTGGCAGACCGGGTGGAAGCTGTGTGCACACTGACAGGGCAGGTGGTGCTGCGTGATCACTTCCTGGAGAAGTTTGGACCACTGAAACACATGGTGAAGGACTCCTCCACAGGCCAGCTGTGGGCCTACACTGATCGCGCAGTCTTCCGCTACCATGTGCAGCGTGAGGCTCGAGATGTCTGGCGCACCTACCTGGACATGAACCGCTTTGACCTGGCCAAAGAATATTGTCGAGAGCGGCCTGACTGCCTGGACACGGTTCTGGCCCGGGAGGCTGATTTCTGCTTTCGCCAGCGTCGCTACCTGGAGAGTGCCCGCTGCTATGCTCTGACCCAGAGCTACTTTGAGGAGATTGCCCTCAAGTTTTTGGAGGCCCGACAAGAGGAGGCCCTAGCCGAGTTTCTGCAGCGAAAACTGGCCAGTTTAAAGCCAACTGAGCGTACCCAGGCCACCCTGCTGACCACCTGGCTGACGGAGCTCTACCTGAGCCGACTTGGTGCTCTGCAGGGTGACCCAGATGCTCTGAACCTCTACCGAGATGCTCGGGAGTGCTTCCGAAACTTCCTCAGCAGCCCTCGGCACAAGGAATGGCTCTTTGCCAGCCGGTCCTCTATCCATGAGCTGCTCGCCAGTCATGGGGACTCAGAACACATGGTGTACTTTGCAGTGATCATGCAGGACTATGAACGGGTGGTGGCGTACCACTGCCAGCATGAGGCCTATGAGGAGGCTCTGGCTGTGCTTGCCCGCCACCGTGACCCCCAGCTCTTCTACAAGTTCTCACCCATCCTCATCCGACATATTCCTGGTCAGCTGGTAGATGCCTGGATTGAGATGGGCAGCCGACTGGATGCTCGGCAGCTCATCCCTGCCCTGGTAAACTATAGCCAGGGTGGTGAGGCCCAGCAGGTGAGTCAGGCCATCCGCTACATGGAGTTCTGCGTGAATGTGCTCGGTGAGACTGAACAAGCCATTCATAACTACCTGCTGTCACTATATGCCCGTGGACAGCCAGCCTCACTGCTGGCCTACTTGGAGCAAGCTGGGGCCAGCCCGCACCGGGTGCATTATGACCTTAAATATGCACTGCGACTCTGTGCTGAGCATGGCCACCACCGTGCCTGTGTCCATGTCTACAAGGTGTTGGAGCTGTATGAAGAGGCTGTGGACCTGGCCCTGCAGGTAAATCTTGACCTCACTCAGGAGAGGGGTCTGGAGCACAGTGGTTTAAGAGGCTGAAAGGTTAGGGAAGGCAAGGCTAGAGTGTGCTGACTTCCTGTGTAGAGAGGTGCTATAGTGTAGAGCTGGGTTTGGGGTGCATGCCTGTTGCCTATAATCCCTGCACTTGAGAGGTTGAGACAGAAGGATTTTGAGTTTAAGTTAGGCTGGTCTAGACTACATAGTGAGTCCTTAAAAAAGGGGGCAGGGTTTGAATTCTGACTTTGCCAGCTTACTCTGTGACCTTAGGCTGCCTCCTTAACCTTTCTACACTTCATATTGTCTATAAAATGAGACTAATGGGCTGGCAAGATAGCTCGGTGGGTAAAATTGCTTGCCACACAAGCTTGACAACCTGAGTTTGAATCTAGAACCCATGGTAGAAGAAGAAAGCCAAAAGTTGTCCTCTGGCTTCCACACACATTATGTGGCATGTGTGCACCCAATAATAAATAAGTAAATAAATAAAAAGATGAGGGTAATGTTAGAATATTTTAACTTGGTACTGTATAAGAAAAATATTCAAGAACTGATCATAGTGTCTAATATAGTGATCTCCAGGCTAGCCTGGACTATATATAGCATCTCAAAAAATCAAAACTCCTGGAGAGTTGGCTCAGCAGTTAAGAGCAGGTATTGCTGGACCTCTGTCTTTCTAGTAGTCTATCCTAGGTGGGGAGGGGCTTGACCCTGACACTCATGGTTTCCCTACAGGTGGATGTGGACCTGGCCAAGCAGTGTGCAGACTTGCCTGAGGAAGATGAGGAACTTCGCAAGAAACTGTGGCTCAAGATTGCTAGGCATGTGGTGCAGGAGGAGGAAGATGTGCAGACAGCCATGGCCTGCTTGGCCAGCTGTCCCCTGCTCAAGATTGAGGATGTGCTGCCTTTCTTTCCTGATTTTGTCACCATTGACCATTTCAAGGAGGCCATCTGCAGCTCACTTAAGGCCTACAATAACCACATCCAGGAGCTACAGCGGGAGATGGAAGAAGCCACAGCCAGTGCCCAGCGTATCCGGCGAGACCTGCAGGAGCTGCGGGGCCGCTATGGCACTGTAGAGCCTCAGGACAAATGTGCCACCTGTGACTTCCCTCTGCTCAACCGACCTTTTTACCTCTTCCTCTGTGGCCACATGTTCCATGCTGACTGCCTCCTGCAGGCTGTGAGGCCTGGCCTTCCTGCCTACAAGCAGGCCCGGCTTGAGGAGCTGCAGCGGAAGCTGGGGGCAGCACCACCCCCAACCAAGGGCTCTGCAAAGGCCAAGGAGCTGGAGGGTGGTGCTGCCACTGGGGGGCCCAGCCGGGAACAGCTCAAGGCTGACCTAGATGAACTAGTAGCTGCTGAGTGTGTATACTGTGGGGAGCTGATGATCCGCTCTATTGACCGGCCCTTCATTGACCCCCAGCGCTATGAGGAGGAGCACCTCAGCTGGCAGTAGGAGGAGGTCCCCTGATAGATGGACAGGCAGGGAACAGCTGCCTGATCCTCTCGGGAAGGCCACACTCTGCTTCGTGCTCAGTCCTTGATTTGCTGGGCCTGTGACTGGGGGAGTGGAATTGGAGGGACTGCTGCCCTGAGGTGTCAGGTCTGAGCCCCTTCTGCCAGCTGCCCACTGTGCTTCAGAGCTGCCTTAGAGCTGCTCCTACCCTGGACCAGGCCATGAGCCTGATGCCTGGCCCCCTGTACCTAACGTCCTTTGTCCTTGTCTCCCAACACGTTCACCTGGACTGTGTACCCTTCCTTCACCCTGGCCTCTGAACCTCCAGCTCTTCGGAAGAAGCTCCCTCTTCTGTCTGACCTAGGTGTCGGAGAAGTGGATTGGCAGCCCTCCAAGCCCTAGGCACTGGTGGGAAGTGTGGTGCTAATAGTGAGCATGCTTTTTTCCCCATTCTGGGGATCCAGTGTCAGGGGTGCCTGACACTGAGGCCAAATAGAGGACAGTGGGAGTTGCTGGCAAGTGGAGAGCATTAAACTGTCTGCACTGCACTGGTGGCTCTGGACTTGATGGCTTTGTGTTGATGCCAGGGTAAACAGGATATGATCCCAAGCAGGGCTGGACTGCCACAGGAGGACTCCAGGTCTATGCAGGTCTGCTCACTTGTCTCCCTTCCTTGTGTCCCCCATTGCTCAGGGATTGTAGCCTTGCATCCTAAATCTTCGTGTGGGGCTGTTTTTCTCTTTGGCTGGCAGGTGGCGCTGCTGCTCACAGAATTCATCTAACTCTGGCTCCTTAGGGCACTGATTTCTCATGTCGGTCTTATTAATGCTTCCTCAGCTATTCGCTTCCTAGTTGTCCCAAGAATTTTCTAGATATCTCCACTGCCTGAACACGATTCCAAGCCCTCCATTCTTTTTTCCCCAGGGTTTTTTATTAGCATATGTTACATATAATGGGTTCCATACAGAATGAATTTTGGGCATGTTCACCCCCTCCTCCATTACCTTTTCTTGTCCCCTCCCACTCTTGCTAATCTTCCTTTACTCTCCAACCCCCTTTGTGCTTTAATGTCTGTGTGTGTGTGTAGACCTGTGACTGACCCAGTGAGTTTCATTAGAGTTGCTTACAGGAACATTGGCACCTTACCAGTGTCTGCACCACTGAAAAAAATGCCTCTCCCTCCCCCATCAACCCTTAACTTCCTATAAATCCTCAGGAGGGGCTGGGTGAGTCTTGTGCAGATCTTGTACAGGTAATTACAGTGGCTGTGAGTTCAAGAGTACAACAGCCATGTCATCGCTGGAAGTGTTTCACACCATCCCCTTCCTCTAGCTCTTCCATTCTTTCTGCCCTTTCTGGAGTGCTCCCTGAGCCTTGGAGAGGGTGATATAGATGTCTCATTGTCTCATTCTCTGCAGTGACTGTTATTCATGCTGAATTTTGCTTGCTCTTTTGTCAGGTTGAATCTCTGCCAGCTTATGCCTAGCTTTGCTATAACTACGGTCACTGTCTGTGATGCTTGGCAGACTTGTTTTCTCCTCACCATTCTCCTTTGACTTTGCCTTCTCTACCCCTAGATGACACTGTCTTAGTTGAGGCCAGAGCTACATCCTAGAACACCCTGGAGTTGGACCCTCCTGTGACAGCCTTTGCCCTGTGGACAGGTGTTCATAGTGCACTGCTGACTTGATAGGTTTGAATCTGTCAGCTGTCTCACAGTGAGACAAATAACAAGTGAGCATTCCTGTGTCCAGGCTGGAGTCCAGCTGACCAGGCGTCTCCAATCTAAACCTCTCCCAAAAATTTTACCTGCTGCAGTCCTAGTTGGATCTGACCCTGTCAAGTTCCCTAACTCCTAGAATAGGATCTCTCATGGTGTCTGCCAACCCTGAGGACTGATGCTGCCCATATAATGACTTCCAGTGACCCTGTCTTCTTCCAGAAGGCAGAGTTGGAGCAAATGGGGAGAGAAGTGCCTGTGTGGGTAGAGGGCATCCTGATCTTGTTCTTTTTCTCCTGCATTCTTTCCCCATGTGGCCTAAGGCACCTTCACACCCAGATATAATAGGAGGGCTCAGGGGTTCTCAATTCCCCACTGTCAGTGCATATTGAGTATAAAACCTTGGTCTGCCACTGGAGTGGTTGCTTACTTACAACAGATAAAACAGCTTGGGACTTCTGTCTTTGTACAGAATGATGCCTAATACATGTTAGTTAAACAAACACTGCTCTCTTGCTCTCTTCTCCCAGAGGGTTTGACTAAAACAGCCTCAGACATCCCTACCCCTTCTGTCTTCTCCTAAAGCAGCCCATCTGGTGTTAGGCTGCTTCCTCTTTCCTGGGAAAAGGCTCCCATCTTCCCTGGCACTGACAGAATGGGGTTCCGGTGAGTCAGGGCAACGGGAAGCCATCGACTTAGATCCCTGGAAACCAAGCAAGGCTTGGAATGGAGAGCAGAGAGAAGGCCTTCAGGGCTTTGGCCCTAAGCCTGAGGGAGAGCCAAAGGGGGAGGGGGAGCAGCTGCGTGGGCAGGGGCCAAGATGAATGAGTTGCTTCTGGAGCAGTCACTGGAAATAGGAGGAGTGGCTACAGGCAGTGACGCTGGGACCTGGGCAGGAGGCCTGTAAACAAGGAAGCCACCTGGGGGAGATGCAGGGCGGCCACTGGTCCTGAAGAGCAGGTGCTTCCTGAGGCCCACCCTTGACAGGACCCTGGGGGATGCTCTGCCCAGTTGGTCCCAGACACTAGGGGGCACTGTCTACTGGCGTCCAGACCTCACCGCACCCTACCAAAGCTCCTGGAGGAGTGGCCACTGGAGGGTGTGCCCACTAAGAGCCTTAGGCCTGGTTGGCCCGCCCTCCCTCTTGTCCCCAAAGCAGACTGGCCAAGGGCACTAGCCCAGACATTGAGGGCCAAGGCTCAGCCTGGTCAGCCTGGGTGTGAGCTTATTCCCCAAGGACTACCAATTCTCAGATTCCTGCCCTTCCCCCTAAGGCTCAGGTCTCAGGCCAAGGGCCTGGCACCAACTGCATTGGTTGGGAGTGGGCTCCGAGGTCATGAGGCTCCAGGCTGCCCTTGGCGTTGCTCCCTCTATCCCCTGGCGCCAGGGAAACAAAGGTTAGGGGCCCAGAGGGACTTATCTGGCCCCAACACCACTGGGTGGGGGGAGGGGACAAGAAGGGCACACCTCTCCACTCCCCCAGCCCTACTGATTGATTCTTCGAGACACTTTCACAGGCGGAAATTCCCAGAGGTCAGAGGAGGGAAACGGTTAATTCCTTTTATTCAATGCCCCCCCCTCCACACCACCCCCTAACTTCCTCCCTCCACTTCCCGCCCCCCCTTGTGTGAACAGGAAGTGGAGAGGAAAAGGCTCTGAGCAGAGCAGCTGGGAGTAGGAGGCAGGGAGTGGGTGGCAGGCCTGGTGCCAGGCCTGCCCCTCATGGCTGCTTGCTGGAGGGACAGACTAACTGCCCTGGAGAGAACCTGCAGCCCCACTGACAAGAGGCAGCTGAACTGGGAAAAAGCCCAGCATCCAAGCCCCCTTTTCCCAACCTGCTGCCAGGCCAGAGGCTGCCGTCCTTCGGGTGAAAGCCATCCTCTGCCCAAACCCCAGCTGCCCTGGCCACTGCAACCCCACCCCCACTGCCAGGCTGGGCATCCCAAGGCTGGTGGGCAGCAATTCAGGCAGCCGCCAGTCCTGGCACTGACTCCAACACTCAGCCCCTTGGCCCTGCCAGTCCTTTGAAGCTCAGGCAGTGCTTCCTGTTTGGGGCGGGTGATGCCAAGGCCCCTCCCCCACCATTGTTCTGTAGAGACCATAGGTCCATCTGTTGCCCCCATGGTGAGGCCCCTAGGCAGTGCCACACGGGAGCAGCACCACAAAGGACCCTGCTGGCAGCTTTGCTCATTGGGGGCAAAGCTGGGCCCTGCAGCAGGTTGAATATGAACAGTGGTCGGAGACAGGCCTGGAGGGACTGGGGTGGGAAGATGCTGAGTAGCTCCTGCTTGGATAACTGGAGCCCTCCGCTCTTTCCACCTAGCATGGAGATGATATTCAGGAAGCTATACATGCTCAAGCCACCAGGAGAGGGGCAACATTCTCATGCCCAGAGGGGAAACAGACAGAGGGGCAATCTTCCATGTAGGAGACTCCACTCTGTAAATGCCCCATGGTCAGGTACCTTCCTCTTCCTGAGTAGCTTTGATTTTCACCTTGATACAGTCCTTGAGCTGAGAAGCCAGGAGCCATACCATGATATCACTGGAGGTTGAGTGTCCCCAGGTTGGTGGTCAGCAACTGATGTCCACTGAGAACAAGCCAGGGCAGAAAAAGGGAAAGGGTCTGACTACAAGGAAGGTGGCAGCTCCAGGTTCCCAGGCTGCTGTGGCCAAAGGTCTGTTTGTGTTTCCCAGGTGTGGAAGCAGGTGCCCTATTATCTCTGCAGCTCACCCTCACCCCCAACTCCCCACCATGGGCCAATTTCACAGCTCCAACCTGTTTCTTCCTTCACCTCTCCACAGGGCTAGAAGTTAAGGCATAGTCTACCCCACTTCCCTCACCATGTCTTCTGGCTTCTGTCCCCAGCCCATAACTTGTACTGCTTCTGGCTTTGAGAGGGCCAGATCTCTGAGGCCTCACTCAGATAAAGATCACAGAGTGTTGTAGAACCCTTCTTCAAATAAAAGATTCTGTGACTGTCCAACACCTGAAATTGATATGCTGAGTGTCTCTGGTGGGAACTGGGCTGATCATTTGGCCTGTCCTCTCTTCCCCAACTCTATTCTGTATGAGATGCCAGGATGTCCAAGAACTCAATTCAGAAACCACTGTGCTGCTGTTCTCACTTTGATTTACAAAAGCTGAATCAGAAGTTGGCTGACTGGAGGCTCCATCAAGATTCTGTCGTTTCTCCATGAGATTTAGAATCAGTGGGCAGTGATCCCATGTCTATTGTGGACCAGCCACTGTCCTCAGCCCTTCACCAAGCTCCTTTTTCTTTCTTTGTGGGGTTTTTGTTTTGTTTTTTTTGCTTTTGTTTTTTTGTTTGTTTGTTTGTTTGGTTTGGTTTGGTTTGGTTTTAGTTTTTTGAGAAAACTAAAACCTCAGCTGGCTCAGCTCAGGTTGGCCTCAGCTGGCTATGTAGACCAGACTAGCCTCAATCTTACAGAGATTATCCACCTGCCTCTGCCTCCTGTATGCTGGGATTAAAGGCATGTGCCACCCTGCCTGGTCTTTTTCTTAAAAATTATTTTAAAGTTACATTTCTTTGTTTATTGTGTGTTCACACATGTGCATGTGTGCATGCCATGGAACATGTGGAGGTCAGGACAAGTTGTGGGAGTTGATTCTCTCCTTTTACCATGTGGGTCCTGGGGATTGAACTCAAGTCATCAGGCCTGGTAGTAAGCACCTTTATCCACTGAGCATCTTTACCCACTAAGCCCTCCAGCTAAATTGACTTGAGCTGAGGGATTGGCGGGAGGTACAGTCTGGAAAAAACAAGTGTAAGTCTTTGCCCCGGGATTGCCAGTCTTCAGAATAACCACACACCCGGAACACAGTTTCTTTACCTGTACCATGCAGATATAACAGACCTTGAGGAGCTGCTATGAAGCTTCACTGAGCACAGCATAGCACATGTGACCTGGAGCCTGGCACCAGAGCAGTCCAGGTACCTCTTTCCTGAGCCCCATTGCAGTTCTTGCCTCACAAGCCACTCTATCTCCAAAGAGGCCTGAAGGTTTTTTCTGGTTTCTCGTAAAATTTTGACTCTAGGAAAGAGAAGTTCAAGATGAGAATGAGGAATCTCTCAGGCATGTGGCATGCGGCTGCTGAGGTGGGATAGGAATGCTCCCTTGGGGAACAGGGTCTTGGGTTCCTGGACACAACTCCAGTTTTACAGGCTCGAGGGGCTAAGCAGATATCCCTTTGGCCACTGACCAGGCCGGCCCTTCTGCCAGTCTACCCTTGTGGTTCAGCCCAGAGCTTGCACAACAGCTTGGCTGGCAGGCACTCCCCTGAGAGCTTCAGGAAGTCCCCTTGTCCCCCTTTGATCTTTGAGTTTTGGGTCTGCTGCAGGCAAAATTTCAGGCAGATGTTCTCTCTTTTACCTTCTGTTCTTGGTCATTTTCCTAAAGGCTGGAACTCGTC